TATTCAAGCTGGGAGTAGAGCCGCAGGCTTTTCCCCGATCGAATTACTGAGCTGCTTTTTTCCGTCGTTCTGGATACAGTAACGTCTTGCTGGAATAACTTCATCTTACGGAATTTCGAAGCGGAATCCGGCAGAGTCATTCGAATTCATCTTCTCTCGAGTAAATCGATTTGGGGTCGTTTACACGACTGGATAATATAGGTAATATAAATTCCAAAGACTTTTAGAGATCTTTGGTAAGAAGAGTATTAAGATAAAAATTCTTAAATTAAAACACTTTTCGAATAAATATGAATCATACGAACTGGCTATCATTGAGAAATCAATTTAGTTGAATCAATTAATTTCTTGTTTGAATATGGGCAAACAAATCCTTGGTTGATGCAATAAAATGATTTAGTTGAAGCACAAAGCATTTGTTTATTATAACATTTTACTTGTTTCTACATTGAAGTTTAATAAATTTATTTATCAGAAACAAGTAAAATGCTATAGTAAACAAACGTTTTGCTTCAACTAAATTATTTTATTGCATCAACCAAGGATTTATTTGCCCATATCCAAATAAGAAATTAATTGATTCAACTAAATGGGTTTCTCAGTGTATCGGAAAATATTTTTACAGCAGATTGTAGAGTATACAGGGTTTGTTAGTTTGATATGTTCTTCTTAATCCTGTTCATTCAAGATAAGAAAAGCTGTTAGTAAATAAATATTTGTTTAATAACTTTTAGAAGATTAGTGGAATTGAATTTTACATAGATATACATTTACTTTTTTATATATCGCAAAGTATATAATGATAAAGAACATTATAATGATAAAGAACGTATTGACTGTTGCTTTTGAGATTTTCTTATCGTTTTGAGTCAATTTGACATGTAATATAATTTTACATACGGAATTAATAATGCAAATGTTGCGTTTTCATTTTACGAAGACACCTTGTATAATCCGCATATGATGGTATCAAGTTGCTTTGGGTGCGTATGCAAATATAATTAATATCTCGATTTCGAGTTGTTATTGAAACACTGACGCAATGTATTAACATAAGTACCACTTGCAAACTTTCGAAATGCATTGATGACGTCAGTAGAATCAGATGAGATTGATTTCGATCAACACCGGAAACATTGTGGTGTTCTTCCCTTCCTGTTTTATCTCGCTATCGATACAACTAAATTAGAATTATATTTATTATAGTTACAAAAAATGAATAAAATTTACAAAAGTAAAAAAAATTTTGAAGAGTTATAAAATTATTAATTATATTATAAAAAATTAAAAACCGTTATAAAATTATTTATTATAAAATAATTTCTGTATGTTGCAAATATTTACGTTTTAATACAACTTTAACTTTAGTTCTTAAAGTTCTTTCTTCAAAATTTTTCTTAAATATTTAATTTTGATATTGCAAGACGTAATGTAATACAAAATATTTTCATATATACACACATTTAATCTTGAGATGATATTTGTGTTTAAATAACATTATTATACAATAATATGTTAATTTTCAAATACATAATTGGTTCGCAGATAGAAGATATTCGAAAGCACATTTAATAAATATTTTAAGTATTCGCGTTGTAAGTGTATATTATATAAACAACACATTAATGTTGAGAAATACGCAAATTTCCAGCCCTGGTATATATGTTGTAAACAGTTTTGCTAAGTTGGTAAAAAGACTGAAGCGACGTCGGTAAAAAGACTAAATGTCTCAGTTAGCTTTGTCCAAACATTTGCTTTGCGATAATCCATACACGCTGTCTACTTTCTGCAAGTCAAACCGCTGACTTTCTCAATGAATTGTGACGTTGTACATTTTGACGTCTTTACATTTTGTTGCTCAGCTTTCTCCACGGAGAAGCTTCGTGAACATTTATGAAATTAATTTTGGAAATAGAAATCTATTTAGGAAAATGGATAATAAAATTGCAATTTTGCATTATTTTTATGACAGTTACTCATTATACGTTCAGTATTAAATATAATAAAAATTTTTCTTTTTTTATTAATTATATATTGGATAAAAAATTAATCTTTATTTTTTATTTTATTTTCAATAATCAATTTTTTTTAATTATATCATAGAAACATGATATTATTGTAAATTTTGTGATAGTTCACAGTTAATTACAACATTAAGTTAATTACTCGGAAATGAGTTTGTATGCATCAAGATGACGTGATAAAAGATCTAGTCGCAAGAACTAAATTGCAATTTTTGTATCTAGTATTTACTACACTCTAATTAGTAGCATTATGAAAATATTTGAATGTTTTTCTGCAACAACAAAGTCCTTTTTTGCTCGTCTTTCCTTTAAAATCAGCTTGAATCAACACACCGTCGAGGAGTTTGCGTGAATTTTCGTAGTTGGTCTTCGTTAGATACGTAATCCGTATGCAATTGCTCCTCTCTAATAAGAACGCTGTGTATCTGGTCATAAAACGAAAAGCTCGCGCGAGCAGCAAGTTAGTTGTCTGATGCTTTGTGCTCGTAGAGTAGCAGTCTTTCTCTTGAAAAAGCAGCAGCTACTATTCCGGCACATAATACTTCTCAGTGCACCAGTGGAGCGAAATGTAATATAATGTCATTTCCTTATCTCTCATAGTGTTCATAGTGCTTTTGTTTAGAAAAGAATACTTCTTTGGCTGAAGCATCATTAGTTCAAGAGGAATCCTTAATTAATATACTTTCGCAACGATTTATATTGAGTGGCGACTTAAACGGAAAAGTATATTACATTTTAACAACTTCGGTGTAATTCTGTGCATAACTCACGCAAAGCTTATCAATGTTGCCGTCGTAGTTAGTTAGTAATTATTGGAATGAAAACACGGTCATAGCGTTTTACAAGTTATCGGTGATGCGTGATCGAATATCCCTCGTCTCCTCCCCTTCTTCCGGAAATAACTGGAACTCACGTTATTGAGTAAATGGCGGTAAATAATTGGATCGTTAACGAATAATCAAACCAGTTGTTCGTTCTCACAATTAATAAGTACATTTCGCAGTTCAATTATAAAAGAAAAAAAGTGTTTGAATCAAAGTGAAGTTTTATGGAAAGATACAATAATAATTATACGATTAATTGCCGCTATTGTAATGAATTATTATGATCAATTGATCAGTGTTTCTGTGTTTGAATATTTTAAGGTCGTAGTATATGATGCAATAAAATTATCCGAACAATATTATTCGAAACTTGAAGAAACCTTGGCGCGCAAAGCCACCATTGATATTTATTGAATTACGCATTATTGACTCCTGTTATGCAGATAATGTCGATATATTCCCGGAAGTACATATATATATATATATATATATACTTAGCGAATCAGGCATTGGCGGAAACTTCACGAAATATCAAATCTTTGCATGCTGCGGAAACTCCTGTTTCTAGGTAACTCGAAGATTGAACGTCTTGATTAAATATTAAGCCTTAATAAGGTACACAAGGGAATTACGTTAAAATTTGCATTATATACGCTACATAATGTATTCTATTAATTTACTATTTTTGAACAAATCACGTACTTCTTTTATTAAAAGTTTGTAAGTTCAACAGTTGTTGTATGCGCGCGAATAATTGAACGTAATGCTCAGATAATAGACCATGAGCGCGAGGACAAAGATAATATACGATAAAGCACGACAAATTTTTCAATTTTAATTAAGTGTCAGTCAAATCCGCAGTCTCAGTCAAAAATCCGAAAAGATAATAGCCACCCTCCATCCACCTTTGAGCAGATTTAACTCTTCAAACAGGCGTCATGCATATTCTATCAACGACCTAACCAGAAACCGCAGGCCAGCCTTGCGGTGATGTTAACCCAGCAGCTCTACTAGGATCTATATAGCCTTGACATGGAGGTATGCCCGGGATTGAGGATTTTGAAAAACGATGAAGCAACCGTAACCGCAACAGCGGCCTCCGTTCTACCTTTGACACGACGGAAATATTGCAAAATTCTTTTTTTCCCTTAATATCTAGGCTCTATTTAAAAATCACAATAAAAAAGTTATAAATCCTCGAGATCAAATAAGTTTTTTAAATTTTGTGTCCCAGTACATGTATAATGTACCGCTAATGAGCTCAATAAATATGTCAATTTAACGCTTAAAATAATAGGATAATAATCTTTTTTATACATGAAAATTAATGAAATCTTAATTTATTCGGTAAAATAATACTGGGTTTGACGTCTACTGTTCTGACACTGAATAATTAATAGTGCTGCTTGGTTCCTTTCGCGTCACAGCAATTTATTTGTAGCAATTTGTACATTCACCACAAATCATGTTGAGTTACAAGAATAATTTTAAAATTAAATATTAATTATATATTTATCTACCTCAAATATTGTAAATAAAGTTTAGCAAGCAGATTTGATATTATACGAATGCGCATTTAGGTTTCCGTTTATACTCCATTTGAATTATAAGTTGAAAACAATGTTTCAACTCGAGCAAATCTTTTTCATAATGCTGTCGGACGCGGATTTGTTAACGTAATTAACGAGTTAGTTTCAAGAACAGGAGAGTCGTAAAATTCTAAAATTACTGTTGTCACTCACCTCCTTGTCGCCCAGCTGATGAACTCTGCAGTGAAGAAAGGCGGTCTGACCGACTGCGGTAGTAACATTCCGTGGCACATTTGTTTCGAAAGCCGGCACGCCGCTGACGTTGCGACTCCCCTGAACAAGACTACCGCTCAAAACTCTCTGATCACGAGTGAACGTACCTGCGTGACATATAAAACGAATGTCAGCGTCAGAAATTAGCTTGTCTACAACTGAATCGTAAAAGTCGTTAAGCGGTTTTAAGCTAAATAAAGTTTAAGCATTTTACCGGCTTGGAATTGTGATTAAACGAAAATAATTGAGTAACTTTTCCTTTCTCGTATATTAATATTATATTTCTAAGATTTTCAGTTAGTCGAACCTTTGAAGGAATAAGGATTAATAAGGATTATTTCTGTTTTTAGGTCGGAAGCTATTTGCAAAAGGGGAATGCAATTTGGTGAATCAGTTTATAAAATTAAAGATAAATATAGAGGAGACCGGGGTCAGTTGACTATAAGGGTAAGTAGAATAATCGAGACTACATTAAAAACAAAACCGCGTAAACGTGTCTGAGCACGCAGCAGCGACTGCCGCTCAGTCTGCTATAACATCTTGTTGCGAATATATGATAGTAGTTATGCCATAATTTTAAAAAATCATACACCTAAATAAATATTTTTATTCTTCTTTTTGTTTTACTATCACTAAAAATGCCAAATTTTTTTATACAAATCTGTAACTATCTCTCATAATCTTGCATTTCGTGAAACTCGTCTTTGTCATTATTGAAACGATTTCACGAGTTTATCTTATTGTCATGAGAAATGCATATCAAACAACAATACGTCGGATGTTCATTATATCGAACGTTAGTGTTGACATTATCGAGGCAAATAGTAGATTTCGACGGATGCCGCAAGCGTCTACTTAGTTATCGATTGTTAGTGACGGAACTAGATAAGCTTGCGAGTTTGTATTTGATCTGGAGCTAAGACAGATCACAGATTAATTTGTAGTATGCGGAGGACTGGAATAGGCGAGCTTGTATGATTTAGCCCTTTATCCAGATTATTTTGCACAAGGACAGTTCCGGCAGAGTATGTTTTGCGAATGGAACGTTACGATGTGTTTGCGCACACCGACGACGGTCATTTCACCGATATTAGCGTTAGATTGGTCGCTAATTACTGTCGATATTCATAGTAGCCATATAATGACCATGTCGGAAATTCCGCGAAGGTATCCGTTTATTAAGGTATTATCTTTGGTGTTGTTTTTATAACGCTCATATACGTTTCATCATAAGTATAGAATAAAATAGTACTTCAATATTATATTGATGTTTTTAAATGAATTTTGAAACACACAAAATTTTGTTTGAGAACTTTTTGCATATTGTGATAAAGTTTAAAATTTTTATTGTAATTTATATATACAAGGTGAATCAGAGTCGTTGAATTAACTTTTACCCTATGACAAAATTATCGACTTCATACTTAATTGAATTATAACGTGTGCAGTCAATTATTTTCTTATAAGGTAAAAGTTGGTTCAACGATTCTGATTTACCTTGTACATATACAGGATATACATACATACATACATAGAATATGACATAGAGCAAACATATATATATATTATATATATATATATATATATACGTTTTTTAACTGGTAATTCACTTCTATTTGTCTTTAGAAAAAACTTGTTTTAGATGAAATATTTAATAAAAAATTCAGCTGCAGAGCAATGCTACCGCGTCCGCTATGTCAGCACAAATATAATATAATAAAAATATGAAAGTCCTAAAGTTCAAAGTATCTCTGGGAATATTAAAAGTTATTTTATACTTTTTATGTACTTTGGGTTGTATAAATTGGCATAGGTACGTATAGAATTCAAAAAATATATTCAGAAATTGCTTTATATTTCATTTCTTTTTGCAAAACTATGTGAACTTCAGCAGTTAACCCATTCATGGGAACTGAACACATTTGAATAAGGTTTGAATTTTGTATGTAAAGTTCATCGTTGAAACAAATCGATTTTTTTACCGAATTTCTGAATTTTTATATTATTTCTTCGAAAATTCTATTTTTGTGCTTAAAATAAAATTATATAAATTAAAGCATTGTAATATACTAAAGAAACTGAATCATAATCATAACAGATCTCTCTCTTTCATTTTATAAACATTATATAAACCAATCTCTCATTTTATAAATAGTTTATCAATGTTATGTGTTTCTATTTCTTAATATTAAAATTTAAACGTCTTTATATTCACAATATATGTTGAAAAATACACGTATTCTCTCTCAAAGAAGATTATAATATCGAAAGCGTACGCGAAACACTTATTACAAGAGTTTATGTAAAGGAGGAAAGATAAAGAATTCCATTAAACACTACATGTATTTGTAAGCTGCATCGCGTTATGTAGTAGCTGTAGTTTATTTATGAAGGAGTAACTACCTAATCCAGAGAGACAGAGAAAGAGAGAGAGAGAGAGAGAGAGAGAGAGAGAGAGGATATGAATGCTGAGGCTTTTGACCTCGTTGGATATTAGTACTCTTTATAAGTGGTTCCAGGCAACATTTGTATTCCAAGCACTCGTATGTGGCAGCTGAAAAGGTACGTGCTTCTCAGTTAAACAATTACAACGGTCTAAAAGAGGTTTTTGGATTTGTAACTTTATTGTTAGATTCCACAGATGATTAATTATAGGCATAATTATTCGAAATATCCTCTCTTTGGTATTCGGAAATATATTTTCAGTGTATTATCTAAAGATGACATAATGAGAAAAATGAATGATTTTTATACTACACGAATTCATGATAAAGAAGAAGAAAACGTGATATTTTTTTATTTTTACAATTTACACAAAATTTTCTAAATTTTAAATTTCATTGAATCTGTATTAATATAAAACGCTTCTTAAATCATTTGTTTGAGATCTAATAATAAAGTTTAATCAATTTTTAATTGTTTCGGTCATAAATATGATTTTAATTTAGGTAATATATTTCCATATATACATTTATATTTTTTTCATAGAAAAAAAATTTAAAACGTCGATATCGGTTGTGACATATTACTTTTTTCCTTTTCTACTGGGTTATTAACGACAAATGAATCAATTTGTTTCGACGTACCATCTCGATCCATTTAATAACAGATAGTAGGCATGTGCAATCGATATGAGTAACGGTCCAACGCTCGTGAAGAGCGCATGCAAGCGTCAGCGTGATTTCTCTTCAGGTGTGCCAGCGTAATTCGTATCAAGTTAACGAATTGTATTTCATCGAAAACCGATTGACTGTCGTTTGCATTTTCGCAGTGCGATGACAAAAGCATCATACTTTGCGACCCGCGTATCGGAACGGTTCGTGAATGAAACATCGACACGCGCGTATACTAATTCAATCGTAATCGGATATAAAAGGTCACGATCAGGAAGCAGTTCTGGAAATAGACCGACAGGAAATGAGAATTTTTCCATAACTGGGAAAATTCTCATTCCCTATTCCGTTTGCAAGCGTCGCAAGATTATTATTGGAAATCAAATGGTATTGCTCGCGCTATTGAGAGGGAAAAAGAGACAGTGATTTTATCTAAGATGTCAAATAATGAAATGCGATCCGATAATGGTTAATATTCAAAATATCAGTACCACGTTATCGGTTCGCAAAATCGATCTTCACAATTACATATCGATTAAATACAATATCATTTATAATCTTATAAAACTTTGCTCGTTTTGTTTGAATTACTATAAATATATTTCTGTACGAAAAGGATAATTTTGCTGAAATATCTAAAAATTTAGCGGATACAAATCTGAAAATAATTATGTAGAATGCTCAAACTGGTTGCTAGAATATCCAAACTTTTACATTCCTCCACATAATGTTTGAAATTATTACATAATTATTTTGACGGTGTGTAACTAAATTATTTTCAAATCTACATCTATAGCTAAATTTTTAGATACTTCAGCAAAATCGTTTTCTCCATGTGAGGTTCCCGTTGTCAGTATTATAGTATTATAAAATTTTTTTTATAATATAAATTTTGCAATTGTGTCACTCGTTGTATATCTTGATTAACCTGATACAGTTTACAGTAAAGCGCAACCGTTTTGTACCGAAATAATTTGTCATCGTCGCGACGAGCGTTTCCATATTTCGCGACCGAGTTTTACAAGGGTGCCACGGTGATTCGCGTTGATCAATAACGGGGGAATAATAAATAACGGACGGGTTTGTCGATAAAACATCGGGACCAAAAATCGCCGCGCACACGGATATGGGCACTGCGACGTGTAGTCTGCGATGCCTCGCTTGCAAAGTTATGACCTACGACCCGTAAAGCGGATGCACCGTACTGCTGCGCACGTGTAGGTGCACCTGGCGTGTCCTGCGGTTTCAACGTTGTAACTCCCGCTCGTTCTGCGAGAACAACGTGCCGGAACAAAGAAGCGAGGGGTTTTGTCTCGTTTCGTATAGTGCCATTCAAAGAGGATTAGATGAAGAAGCTGGCGCACGTATAACGATTCTGCTCGACGTGACGATGTGTAGCAGCTACCATCAGAGAGTAAATGGCGATACATAGTATGTAAAGTAATTCATAAAAATAACTAAAAGTCATTCGATTTTAGTCAGTCCTTTTCTTTGTGTAGTCTTTTTTTAAATGTTATCTCGTAATTTTAACATCATATTTTATGTTATTATCAGCATATTATGTTATTATCACTTAAAATCAGCCTTTTTCAATAGCGGCAGTATTTTAACTCTTTTTTGGAATGAAATTCCACTCCAAGAAATTTAGAGAATATGTAAAAAAACAAAATCAATAATCAGTCAGCCAGATAATACTTTATGTACATATAGCTATAAAGTTTAGTCATAAAGCTTAGTCATAAAATGTAGTATTAATAATAACTGTGAAGTACTCTGTAGGCATATATAATTTAAATTTAATGGAAGAGTAACTTACATCTATACTACTAATATAGTAAGTGCAATATTGATTGTAATAGTAAACTATTTTAATTTATTAAAAATATTAATTATATGATATTATTATATACCGTATCATATAATACACAATGTATCCAAAATACAATCAGGTCTACCGAGTTTGGTCAACAATATCTAGATTTTTTTTTTTTTTTCGAATGCAATATGCCACGAATAGCAAAAATATGCACTTTTTGTTTTCAAAAAGAGTAATTTAGGCCACTGTAAGGGTTACATTCCGTTGGGTGAGGCTATGTGTTGTTCAACCGGACTTTTGTCGCAAAAATTGACTCGTTCGGACGAGCTATATACTCCGGGGATTACGCTTCGAAAGCGCCGAAGCGAGGCGTTCGTCGATGTACGTGACATATGGCAGGTTGAAAGGATCGCGGCTACAGTTACCAGCAACGGCTTGCTGAAATCTCGGCAAATCGATGATTTGATGGATGCGCGATCGCGAACGTTCAGGCATTTTGTCTATCAATTGCTATAATT